GGGCCCGGGGATAGAAGTAGACGGGGTTGTAAAGTCCTCTGGGGTCGGTGGGGAAATCATCGCTGCTGAATTCGGTCTCCTCGTCATCGTCTCCTAGCTTCTCGAACTGGTAGAAATGATGGTTACCAAACTCGCTTGCAGCAAACAAGAAACCGCTTTTCAAGATGCAAAGACTAGTCGCAACTGGTATCGTGTCGAAGTACTTGATCTTGAGCCGCTTAACGTGCTTCATGTTGCCCTCATTGTCCTCATCCATGTCCAAGGTCACTTTGAAGAGATCGCCATCCTCAGTCTGTAGCAGGAAGAAGAATGCGCCAGCGCTACCCTTCAGCTTGTGCATGACTCCCGCCACAATCGTCCGCTTTCGTTGCGGGTCTTCTGTAGCACCTCGTCGCCGCGGTATGGGGACGCGGAAGGCTTCTTCGTTGGAGTGCCTATAAGTAACGTTCTCTTCTCCGCAAACAAGAACGCCGCTAGGTCCATCACTCCCCCCAGGAACCTGAAAAAGCATCGACGAGGTAGGATCAACTGGTTCCGACCACTTGCGCACCACATGGTTCAACCCTAGGTCGAGCTCATAGTACACCAGTTGTACCTCAACCTCCTTGAATGCTTCGCCCGTTGGATCTTGGTCTGAATCTGAATAGTCCGTCTCTAACGCGGCGAAGACGGGGTTTGAGTACCCAACATCAAGGGCCACGAGGGAGAACACCAGAACGCCACTCTTGTGGGCTTCCAGAGGAGAGGATATAGTGAGTTCGGCTTGTGTGTTACGGTTCAGCACGTAAACGAGCTTGTTCTTCTCGACAGATGCGATCAAACATGCTCGACCCTTTGGATCTGCTGCAAGGTATTGTCCTGGGACAACTCGTCGTACGCCAGACTTTCCAAAGGTTTCGAGGTGGATGCGGTTCAGTTTGTTTTGAGCTGGAATATACTCGAGGATGGCAATACGACCGGAATCACTCGCTACTATGAGGTAATCTGGTTGAAGGTTTAGCAAAATGTCTTATGAAGCAGCTGCCCAGTATGTCATGTCTATGCCCCCGCGTCCGACGCAGGTCTGATGGCCGGAGTTCGAATCACTACATGCTCCGAGACACCAGGGTTGAAGGTTGACTTACCCTTTGTGCTTCCTGCGAGACGGAAGGATGCGATGGACCTGATGATTCCAAAGACGTCATGGGTCAGGAGTGTGATGACCTTTCCAAGCGTCGGGTCGGGTCGGAGGAGGGTGAGGCGAGACCCCGAGGCTGTAATGATCTGCTGCTCCTTCGTTCCTGAGAACTGACCAAGAATGGCTTGGGTGACCGAAGTAGGAGGCTGGATCGTCAAGGAGTAAAGGAACATGTTCGAAGTGGTCGCCATCTTGGATACTCGAGGCGCATTTTAAGCCTGCGCGGCTCAATATCACAAAAAGGTACAAACTTGGAAAGGCTTGGATCCGAGGTTGGACGCCGACGCGCTGGCGACATGAAATAAAATTCGAAGCTATGATGCTTAGCGTGAGGCAGGCCGCAGTTCCATCCCAGCTCCAATGCAGCCAATCAACGCGGTTTACTGGCGGCAAGGAGGCTGAATTTGTCCGCCTGTCCCTGGATTAGGTTTTGACGGTTGGTCCACTGTTTCGGTAAGCTCCACCACCCAATTGGAAGCTTCCGTGCATGAGCTCATACGACTATTCTGGACTCAGGACGAACACGGCACGTTCTGAGAACACGAGCTAAGCTGTCGCATTCGAAGGAGACTTGAAGACATGGCTTCCCGTGCAGAGAAGGTTGTGCGCTCGTCACTATCGCACGTATGCAAAAGCTCGCCCATCTCACTAGGGGCCAAGAGGACGCCTATACCTCGCCTTGCAACCTCAGCCGCCCCTGCTCAGTCGAGAACTCTGGGGACGTGTACAGGAGCCAGCAGGGCTACTGCGAAGTCGAGTCGGGTCGAGACAGGAAAGAGATCAGCGTCAGCCTTCTCAAAAGCGATTTCCCGCCGCCCTGAGGAGGAACAACCGACCGTCAAGAGAGTGCTTAGGGAAGATGACCTCTTTCACTCCTTCAGCGAGTCGCCCATTCCGGAGATACGGCGCCGTGCTGCATTCATGAGGCAGCATGCATACTGCCCGCACCCCGATCACCGACCTACCAGACTCTCTGACAGCGCATCCGGAGAGCCTACCACGCACACGGGCAGCTTACCTGCGGCTCATGTTGACTTTGAGTGCCCGGACTGTGGGATACCAGTATACTGCAACAAGGAGCATTGGATGGCGGACTACGAGAAGCACTTGGAGATCTGCGACACCCTTCGACAGATCAACGAGGACGACCACGATTTGCGCTCAGGAAGACTTTTCCCCGAGTTCGACTTTGCTGGGCCACAAATAGAGGAATCTATGATCAACATGACAAATTGGGATACGCTTCTATACACCCGTAACTTTGAAGCAATCAACAATGACAGGAGCATGAGGCAAGCAACCAGGCTCCTAACCTACCCATACACCATTGGTAGTGTACTCCATGAGCTTAGCCCTTATTCAGTACGCAAGGGTGGTCGGCTCACGACGGAGGGCCTGAAGAGTTTCAGCGGTAAGCATATCGGGCGTTCTTTCTGTGTGCTGCTTGACCTGACATAATTGCAGCCTTACGTTACACTCTTCACCCACCAAAGACGGGAGGCGGCACGGAGGTATCGAATCTCCGATTAGAGGCTCCTCCTGTGCGTCTTTTCATCCTCGGAGCGAGAGCCGAGTCTTCTCTCCCTCGGGATGCCTGGCTCCAACTAGCCCACATTTTCCCTAACTCCAGGATACATCTCATTTTCATCGGTCCAGAAAGCATGATGAACCGCGATGACGAGTTCCCCTTGCCACCGAGGACACCTGCGAACCCTTTTGGCGCCGTCGTTGAGGACCGCATTTGGCCTACCATGAAGATCAGCACCATCGTGGACTACTATCATACGATTCACAAGACGGGCGAGTTTTATCCATATGACCCCTACTTCGACTGCTTCGTCATGTTCCACCCTGGTCTGGGACACCCCGCAAGCTCACACGAGTGGAGGGACACCATCCCGCTTCTTTTGGAGACAAAGGCGCCTGTCATTGTCACGGGCTATACCCAGTTTGACATGGAGCGCGATATTGAGTATGTCAAGAAGACAGCCGCTGGAGAGTTTGAAATCCTGCTTGAGCCTGGTGAGAACATCTTCCGCAGTCTTCGGTGGGACCTGAACGACATGGATCCTCAGGATATCAGCGCCGGAAACTGGGGTGTGTGGGCTTTCCGTGGAAAGAGGTGAGTTCCCTGTCGAAACAACCGAGACTTTTCAGACTGACGCTAACCGTCCCACCCAGATATGAGACCACCCGCAAGGATGAGGAGTAGACGAACACAGGAAGCAGGTGTACATTATGTACATTAGCCCCACGATCTGTACTATAGCTTGTACATGTACTTGACGAAATCCGCGACACTTACTCTGAATACAACTTCTCTCAAGTCATTCCGGGTTGTTACTCATCTCTTGTTCATAAATCGATAAACCTCGGAGTCTGAAGTCAGTCCGGCGGCCGAGCCGATCCGGAGCTTGGCCCGGGACTGCTCATCCGGTGTGGGGCCGGTTCAGTCCCACTTTCACGGCCGACTTGCTTATCTTATCAAGGACGTCACATCCGCCACCTCAATGAGCAGCCATATTAGTACATAGGGCGTCCTAATCTTCAATCCCTCGCTCTCCAGACGTATAAACTACCCAAAACACCCGTAGATACACCTACTTCGAAATGGAAGCCTGCTGTACATGCGCGCGTCTCCTCTCTGCTGTTCCGGCATACTCGGAGAAGTCAGAGAAGCTGATCCCTCCAGACAGGCAACTGGAGTGTTGCGGCCGTGTCATCTGCGGCGACTGTTTACATGTACGTTGCATTTTTGCACCTTGTAGGAGTAGTATCAACCCGGCAGTGACTGACAGGATTTATCAGAAGAATTCTCGCTTCGAGACATACTGTCCTTACTGCCAGATCTCGAGCGAACCTTCTCTGCTACCACAAGGGCTGAAGGAACCGCCCTCATATGACAGAATAGCAAGGACATCCAATGCTCTACCCATAGACACCAAGGACGAGAAGGGCGAGCAGGCTTTAGACTTACCACCACCATACACCTCAGCACCGCAACCTACATCCAACTCCAACTCCTCCTCCCCACCAGCATATTCCACCCCATCCTCCTCCTCCTCTCCCGCCTCCGACCCAAAGTCCACACCAACCCTCCACCACCTCCACCCAGACGACACCATCCCCTCCCTCGCCCTCTCCTACTCCGTTCCCCCATCTCTCCTCCGCTCCTTCAACCGCCTAACCTCAGACCATCTCCTCGCCGCCCGCAAAACCATCCTGATCCCACCAGGCTACTCCTCCGTATCTCTCTCCCCACACCCGGTGGAGAGTGAGGAGGAGGCGACGCGGAAGACGATGATCAGACGGTGGATGGTGGCGACCAAGATCGCGGACTACGAGGTGGCGTGTCTGTATCTGGAGAATAATCGGTGGGATCTGGATCGGGCGGTGGAGGCGGTGCTGGAGGATGAGAAGTGGGAGAGGGACCATCCGGTTAAGGGGAAGGGGAAGGGGAGGGAGAGGGGGTTGGGGATGTGGGCTAGTCAGGCTGCTTTTTTGAGGAGAAGGGGGAGGTGATGGAAATGTATGTTTAGGTTGGGGGTGTGCAATGATGTAGCAGTCGGAAACCCTATGGAATGAGAGGGCGTGCATTGGAGTTAATTATTGCGTCATGATGATGATGAATGGGTGTGCGATTATGCGTGTAAATTTTATGTATGTGTATAAACTGTATGTGTCAGTATACCTTATGTACTTCACTCGTTTATGAGTAGCTGTCTGTACGCGTACACTAACAACCTGACAGCAGGAAAGTCTTACACTATAAAAGAAGAGTAAGCCATCATCTAGCTGAAGACCAACATAGTTCCAAAAAGATTACCCACTATCGGAGTCGAACCGATGATCTTGCCATTAAGCAGACGCTGCTCTTAAGGAATTCTTAGGGGACGGCACTGTTGACACGCTCTACCACTGAGCCAAGCGGGCTTGTTCTTTCTTTTAGTGTACGGAGCGAGTATCCGACTGATATGTACTGTTCTTCTCAGTCAAGGTTGCGATGTGCAGATGAAGAGGAGGCTTGGCAGGCTTGGATGCATCCGAGTACGGCGTGTGAACAAGTCCTCACATCAGAGGTTGCGCATATGGAGGGAGCTCCCACAGGTTAGAGAGACAATATCACGTTTAAACTGCTTCCCACTCCTTGTCTGTTCTCAAGTTACATGGCATATCCGCTTCCATCAGGTCAAAAACCGCTCCAAAACGCAGCCTGCCTTGCTCCACGTCCTATTTCGTTTGCAAAAGCTCGTACAACTATCACCGCCGTCCTCAAGCTCCAAAAAAAAGTCTTCCCAGAAACCCTCTGATTTGCTCATCACTCCGTGAAAGAGATGACATGCTTAAAAAGAAAAGTCATGGAGTGGACAAGATCGATTTCGAACCTGCTGGGCTTGTCGAGGTGATCCATATAGTCTGTCAATATTTGGTGTGTGTTGTCGCCTTGTTTCATCTTTTCCTCGTGCACGGAATAGTCGTATTCAAGTCCGTCATTGCCCTTGCCATGGACATCCGTACTCCGACGGGCCCATCCGTTCAAACTGCTTTTGCGGTCTTTGGCAATGCTTGACTTCACATAGATGCAGTGCAGGCCATGGTAAGGCACCTCGAGCACGGCATCAAAAGCATCAAACAACTGGTTCAACCGTAGAACCTGAGCCTGGTTCAGGTTTCCTTCCTTGTTACCGTAGTAAGACATAGCGCTGGCCTTGTACGAGTCCAGGTGCGTTTGATGCCAACAAGCGTCTTGCCCAGTTTACCAGAGTCGTCGATGCCAAACTTCAAGAGAGGTGTTGTGGAAGTTCCATAGTGGTCTGAAGTAGAACCACCATGTTCACGGTGCGTTCCATGCGAATGAGTAGTATGGCTATCATGCTGTGACCTGTCGTTCTGGGCCCTATCTCCGTCCGTGTATCCTTCGAAGGCATCCATTTTGCAAAATATGTGTCGGAAGAGCAACAATGGAGAGTTTGAGGGCTTCAGTACTAAAACCAGTCAGTTGCGGTGCTGTGAGGGGTGAGACGGTACTGAGAAAGACAGGAGAAGTGGAAGGGCGGACTTATACATACTTATAGAGTGCGCCACAGGAGAGCTGGTCTTTACGGGGAAATGATTCGAGCACTATCCGTGGATGGTTCACATCGCTCTGATGATTCTGGTATAAAGCGGGCTGCCACACGACAGCCATAGCGAGGTGATTGCAAGATGGGGTATTATGGGGGATCATGAATGATCATGACTGTCTTCCTCGTAACTTGATGAACTGGATGCATAGGACGCCATGTCAGAGTCGATGAAAGAGCTGAATCGTGGGAGAATTCACCCTCGTGCTGATGAAAGGTAGGTGCGTCTCTGCTGACTACAGGTAAAGGCCTGAACGGCTAACTGATCCTCACTACCTGCCCCTCGACAGAATACTTCTCCCTTCATCGAGCTCATGGCCGTGTGATATAACTTGCCTGACTACTGTCCGAATCCTAACAGAATCACTTAGGAGCCCAATGAATGCCAAATGTGATCTTTCGTGTAATCTTGTTTCCTTTTCATGGCCCACGCCGCCTTTCTATTCAGCTGGTAGCGAGTTATCCACACTATTCCAGTAGTAGCCCATGTCACAGGGTCGAGGTCAACTGAGAAGCCGTATACGTCTTACCCAGCGACACGGCCAAACCCCTAATGTGGATTACTTCCGTACCCACCGTCCAATGCATAAAATCCATAGACTATACCATCCGACCGAGACTAGTCATTCTCGGCTCCCTCCTGTCTCACCCCGAGCTCTTGGTAGATGGAAACCCAAGCCACCAGTTTACGATGGTTGAAACAGCCGTCATTTAGGCTTCATTGATGTCTGTAGTAGTGGTTACGGCCTATTCCGAGGATTGTTGAAGAAGAAAAGAGACCTGGTTTGCATGCATGAAGACCTCTTTACTGGTTTGCATGCGTGAAGACCTCTTTTCATTAGATTGAATCCTAACGATGTAGGTTTTATTGCCTGATCCCTAACTCCATTCTTTTACCAGGCCTATCTCTCGCTCTCATGCCATGAAAGGGACGGAAAACGCAAATAATACAGTTGGCCCGTAAGCCTGTTGAGGAGTCTTCGTCATCAAGCCGATCCAAGAAACCCTCCTCTTTCCAACCAGGTTTCCTATTCCTCGTCCTCGTCCGCATCAGCCATGCTGACGTCCCCCTTCTGCTCATCGCCGTCACCGTTGGGAGCATCCTCATCCTTTCCGCCTGCCTCTTCACCGCCGTCTTCCTCTTCATCGCTCTCGTCCACGACACCTCTGGCCCGTCTGGATCTCGGGTTCTGACGTCTGGAGACGGTGGCATCTTCGTCTTCATCGTCGTCATCCCCTGCAGCACCGCCTGCATTATCTTCAACATCCATTTTGTCGCCGTCATTGTCCTCGATCTCGGAAAGCGGACTACTATCGCGTCTCTCGAGATTTCGCTCGGCCTTCTCCAGCTCATCCTCCTCGCCATCATCACTGCTATCCTCAACGATCTCAGCAGACTTGATCTTGGAATTCTTGGCAGCTTCGCGTCTCCGCTGGATGAGCTTTTGCTTCTTCTTGGGTCTCGACTGTTCTTCGCCACTATCGTCGCCGTCGGTCGTGACGCTCTTCTTGCGTCTCGCGCGTCCCTTTCTGGGCTTGGGCTCCTTGTCGGACCGAGGTGGTGCCTTGCGCTTCTGGCGTTTGACCTTTTCACCCGTCTCGCTGTCGGTGGTCAATTCGGCTTCCATGCGCTGACGTTCCTCCTCGGCACGTTGCTCGGCGAGCAGGCGGTCGCGAGCTTGGATCTCCTCACGCTCACGACGGATCTTTTCCTGGCGTGCTTGTTCGGCCTCCTCAGCTTTGCGGCGTTCCTCTTCCTTGCGGCGGAGCTCGGCTTGGCGCAGCTCCATGGCGGCAGCAAACTTCTCCTTGTTCTTCTCCTCGTACTCCTTTTGAGAGGCAAGGGCCCGCTCAAGTTGCTTGCGTTGAGTGTTGCGAGCCATATTGGCGCGCTGCTCGAGGTCGTGCTTGGGATAAGGAGGGTTAGGCGAGTTGGCCACCTCTTCAATGCCTATGATGGCTGCTTCCAGGCCCTCGATAGCCTCCTGGAGTTGGAGAGAGTCGCGTTGAGTTTCGCTCATCTTGTGAATCTCCGTGGCGATGGTAATTTGTGTGAAGGCCACGTTGAACTTGAAATGTATCGTGTCTGGTGCAATTGCCAGAGCCTGATAAACGGACGGTTAGCACACGCCTCAAGGCAGTGGAGTAGGATGTAAGCTTACCTTCTGGGCACACTCTAACGCCTTCTTGAGAGCGTCGAGGTTGTGCTCTTTACGACCCTTGTCTATCCACACCTTGCCCAGGCATGTCAAAATCGAGGCATCATTGGCCTTGCCTTCCTTGGTGAGAGCGATTTCGTAGTTCTCAATGGCCTTCGAATACTGGTTGCTGTAGGCGTAAATGTGCCCCAGGTTGACGTAGACACCTGGATCCTTGAGGGTATCCCGTACCATTGTGAAGATCGGCAGAGCGTTCTTCGTGTCTTTCTTGTCTTCCTGTAGGGCAATAGCAAGACCTTGTGCCGCGTATGCATTCTTTGGATCGAGCTGAAGTGCCTTGTCATAAAACTCGACAGCCCGAGCAAAGGTACCGGACCGCTTCTGTCTCTCAGCTTCGGTTTCGCGACGCATCTCGCGAGCAGCCTGTAGCCACAGATTACCCATCGCAACCAGGGCGTAGCGGTCATGCTTGTCGTAATTCTGCAAGGTGTGCTTGTGGTGTCGGAGTTCTGGATCCTCGTTAGGGTTCGCCGGCCTCTTACGGGCGTGAACCTTGCCCAAGTACCAGCCGTACAATGTACGAACTTCGAGATCACTGGGGTGCTCCTGGTATAATTTGGCCACCGCATCAGGACCCTCCTTGCCTGTGGGATTGGTTCGCAGCTTGATGTAAGCCAGGCGCAATCTGGCATCCGTGTAATCATCATGACGCTTGAGAAGTCCTTCGTAAACTTCTATAGCTTCGGCCGTCAGGCTTTGAGCTTCATAGCTGCGCCCGAGGTTGAAGCTGATAGTTGTCACGAGTGCATCGGTGTCTGTGTCGTCTCCCTGCTCACCAACCCTCATGCAGGCACTGAGAGCGGCTTGAAACATCTCGCTTGCTTGTGCGTGCTTACCAGCCTGAGAATAAAAGCAGCCAATGTTGTTAAGTAGTTGCGGCGGAAGGAATTTGCGCAAGGCGGTCCGCATGGCACTCTCATCCGTGATATCCTTCGGCCGGTCTTCCTCGGGGATTTGGTCCAGCTCCAGTTGTTCAACCTGTTGCAGACATTGCAACGCCTTGTCAGGGTTTTCTGTCTCATATAACCGTGCAAGGTTTAGGAGAACCGCGGGGTCTGGCACCAGGTTCTTCGTCGGGTCCTTTCCAACAGCTCTAACACTCTCCAGAAGCGAGATAGCCTTCTTGGTTTCAGCACTCTTGTCCTCCTTTACCGTGGCAAACTGGTTGGCAAAGACTTCCATCGCATATAGTGTACCGAGGAGGATCATAGCCTCGTAGTTCTTCGACTGTTGAATCATCTTCTCGAGTCTGAGCTTGGCCTCTCCCAAATCGTTCCTCAGAACTGACAACTGAGCTGCACCGAACTTGGCAGGGAGGTAACCACGCTCAGCACCGCCTCTGGCCTCATCCGCGCGGCGATAGTAGTCGGCAGCACGATCGAGGTTGCCTTCATAGTGCTCTTTCTTGGCGAGGAGATACCAACCGTCACTGGCAATGGCGTTGACGTCGGTATAATGGATGGCTTTGTGTGCGAGCACGTCAACAGTCGAGAACTGTTTGCGGGATAGGAAGTAGTTGGCAAACGTTGCACACGCGAGTGGCATGTTCTTGTCGAGCTTGAAGGCTTTCTGAGTATATTCCGTCATGGCC